TATGTCACTTTATAAAAGGATCTAGCGACGTCTTTCAAGCGTATTTCAAATAATTGTTTTCACATATAGAGAAGCTGTATTTGTTACCCCTAACCATAGCGAAGTTAGAAATTTTAGTTTCCATGCTTTTTACTTTCTCATTTGTTTGTTATGATTCCAGTGATCACGTCTGTAAAAACTTTACCTGTAATGCCAGTGGCACACAGCACTATGCTTTGCTTGCTTTATTACAGGCATTTACTGCAGTAACTATCAAGTGGCTCAGGTATTCTCATTCCAGAGCTCCATCTCCAGCTTTACGATTTGAAGGTTTCTCATGTTAATAACGTCTCTAATACATTAGACAGAAGACTTAAAAAAAAAAATCACAGATTTTCCAGCACCTGACGCATTGTGCACAAGGCTAGTTATGATCTAACTCTATTCTAAACCATACACACCTGATGAGGGTGTAGAGACCGATGACAGATTCTGGAGTTAGACTTGCACGTTGCTGAGTAACTTATACCACATGTCTTTGTTATTTGCAGGAAAGAACTCAGAAAATTTCCTTTAGATCTACCTAGCTGACAAATGCTCTTTCTTTTCCTTCCAGCCTGCCCACCTCCTTCATGCTAACTGGACTTGCAACTTTCCCCAGGGTTATATCTCATCACCAGTCCATGACAGAAATGATAAAAGAATGTCTAATCAATAATTAAAATAATAATTTTAGAGAGCTAGCTAGTTGACCAAAAAAAGTCATTACAGTGTTTGATGCTAAATTCTCTTAAGGATTTAGGGTTTTATGGTTAAATTATTATATCTGCCTGCATATTTATTTACAAGATTTTTCCTATAATTTTTGTATGTGTAAACTCTCATTAATTGATTTCATTCTACCTCGTTTCACAAAGGGTCTGAAGCTTTCTTTCATACTTCTTCCTAAGGGAGAATGTAATTCCAAAATTAGGTGCTCTGTAACTCCATGAGAACATTCAGGATTAAGCCAAGGTGATATTATCTTTACAAATGAGAATTTATAACATTATTTCATTATGCACATTTTCTATATAAGTTTAGAAAGAACAGTATCTGGGCTCATCTATTACACATTCAGCAGATTAGAAAATAACTCTTGGGGTTTATTTGATAAACAATGAACAAAATGGTATTTCTTGATGGCTCCTTCAAAACATAACCATTAACACACTGAAGTGAGAAAGGTTTCTAGGAGGAACTATTAGCCAGAAGAGCTTACACACCCAGGTAAACCACAGACCTGTCGCTTGAAAGTTGCTGAGACGAAGGAGCCCAGCAGATGGCTTTTA